CGTCACACAAGCAACACGGGCTGGGGGGTCTGCAGACACCTGCCTGCATCACCTGCTTGCATCTCGTCCTGGGAGCGCACAGGTTAGCTCACTGCTCCAAGCCAGCCTTCCGTCTGCTCATTCGTTTCCTGAACAACTGAAGATGTGTTACCTGCGTCAATAGCTCATTTGTGTCCGACTTTTTGCAACTCCATGGACTAGAGTCCACCAGGCTGCTCTGTCCATGGAATTCTCTATGCACAAGAATACTGGAGGGGTTGCCATTCCCTTCTCCAGAACTCCGAGGATGGGGACAAACAAGACGGCAAACAGTGCTTTTAGGGTTCAGGGGAATGTGACGTTCATGCCTCCTCTCCTCTACCTTCTGAACCATCAGGAACAGGAAACAGGAGACAAAAAGGCCAGGGTGATACAAGTCAGCTGTTTGAGGGCCTGGGAGGGAGGGCAGGGGGGTGGGAGACACACATTGCCCAAAGGCCATGTGGGGTCCTGGCCCCTGGTCCATCCGGGCGGCTGGTCACTCTTTATGTCCAGCCTCTCCAGTCAGGTGAGTCCCTTGTCCTCCTGGTCCTGGGGTGAGGACCTGAAGAGAGGGAAAGGCAGGTTCCTGTGAAAATCGCCCCTGGATGTGGACCCTCTTAAGGATACATGAGGAAGAGTGGCCAGGATGCTGACCTCTGAGCTGGTGAGAGTCCATCGGGGACTAAGCAGAAGCCTTCCTCTGGAGCATGGCCAGAAATGAGCACCTGGGGCCAGGGACCTTCTGGTGGGCTCTGGTGAAGGAAGGCGATCAGAAAATGCCCTAAAGGAGGCTGCAAATCATACGTCTCAGGTCAGCTCCCCAGAAAAGACTTCAGCCAAGAAGTACAGCTGAGAGCAAAGCAGAGGTAAATGCCTGGTAGACTTTGCCAGATCCTGGTCAAGAATAACGTGTAGGAGACACCAGTTCTGTTCAGTTCAGTTGCTCAGTTGTGTCCCATGACATCTTTGTGACCCCATGAACCACAGCACGCCAGGCCTTCCTGTCCGAGACCAACTTCTGGAGTCCACCCCAACCCACGCCCATCAAGTTGGTGATGCCGTCCAACCATCCCATCCTCTGTCATCCCCTTCTCCTCCTGCCTTCAATCTTTCCCAGCATCAGTGTCTGAGGCACCAGGGACGCCCTCTCTGAAGCTTGCTGGGATCTTTGACCCCCACCGCGCCACTGAAAGAGCTTGCCAGCGTCATCCGTGATCTCCCTGCCGCTGAGTCCAATGGTAGGTTTCTAGGCGTCGTCTTCCATAAAGTCTCAGCAGCATCTGGCCTGACTGTGCATTCTTTCCTCCTCAATATGCTTTCTTCACTTCACTCCTAAGACAGCACATTCCACCGACTGGTTGTTCCTTCCAGTGTCCTGTGCTGAGTTTTCTTCCCAGTCTTAGAGAGCTCAGTCCATGGTCATCTTTCTCTTCTCTGCACACATTTTATGTTTTGCTAGTGTCTTAGTTCAGGCGGCTCTAACAAACTACCACGGATGGGATGGCTTATAAACGACAGAAACTTATGTTCTGGAGGTTCTGGGAGCCGGAAGCCCGAGACCGGGCGGCCGGCACGTCTGGGTCCTAGTGTGGACCCTTCATGGCGACAACAGCCAGCTTCTCGTCGTGTCCACCCATGGTGCAGATCAGAGCAGACGGAAGCGAGGTGTCCAGGACTCTTGTAAGGACACTAATCCCGTTCGTGACGGCTTCCCGCTACGACCTCATCTCATCCTAATTAGGGCAGCTTGTTGGTCTCAGGGTATGATTCTTGCAAGAATTAGGCTCATAAAATCATCTCCCAAGGACACAAACATGTGTCTGAGCACACATGGTGGGTGAACCTCGAAAACAGGCTAAGTAAAATACACGTGCGTGCACAGTCATGTCTGACTCGTTGGATCCCATGGACGATACAGCCCACCAGGCTCCTCTGCCCATGGACATTTCCAGGCAAGAATACTGGAGTGGGTTGCCATTTTCTCCTCCAGGGGATCTTCCAACACAGGGGTCGAACCCATGTCTCCCACATTTCCTACACTGGCGGGGGGGTTCTTCAGAAGTCTACATGGTGCATGACTGTGTTTACATTCCAAAACATCTGGAACAGGTAAATTCACAGAGACGGAGAGCAGACTGTTGGTTGCCAGGGGCTGGGGGCAGAAGGAAGACTGACTGCTTAGCGGCTAAGGAGCTGGATTTGGGGATGATGAACATGTTTGGGAGCTAGACAGAGAAGGTGGTTACAGAGCACTGTGAACATACTAAACGCCACCAAATTTTTCACTTTAAAATGGCCAGTTTTATGCTATGTGAATTTTACTTCAATGAAAAAAGTCTTTAAAAGATTTAAAAGAGGACACACGTGGTAAGGGCTTTGTGAACAGCAGCCATCTGGTGACTGGGGTTCTGGGCTCAGCTCTGATACTTACTGACATGAGGATGGCAAGGCAGTACTGTGGGCCTGTTTTGTCACCTGTAAAATGGGTTGGACCACCACCAGTGCTCAGTCAGAGCAGCCCGTGTCGAGTCACATGCAGCACTGCTTCTAAACACACAGACCGCCCTTCAGATTCTGGTACGCCCAAGAGGGCAGCGTGCCTCTTGCTGCTGTGCTGAGAACACTTATTTCAGGTCTGAATCCAACCCCCTTTCTAGAACATCAGGCTAAAGGGCACTGGCTCAGTTCTAACTGTTACTTCCTGACCTGCATACAGATTTCTCAAGAGGCAGGTCAGGTGGTCTGGTATTCCCATTTCTTTCAGAATTTCCCACAGTTTGTGATCCACACAGTCAAAGGCTTTGGCATAGTCAATAAAGCAGAAATAGAGAGACTCCAACAAAGTACCTAGTCTGAGACAGGGACTTCCCTGGCAGTCCAGTGGTTAAGACTCCACCTGCCAATGTGGGGGACGTGGGTTCGATCCCTGGTCGGAGAACTAAGATTCCACGTGCCGCAGGGCAGCTAAGCCCGAGCACCACGACTCCCGAGCCCGTGAGCACTAGAGCCTGTGCTCCGCAACTAGAGAGCCCGTGTGCCACAGTGACAGATCCTGCACGTCGCAGCGAACACACGATGCAGCTAAAAATAAAACCAAACAAACATTTAAAAAGTAAACTGAGACAGAGGTGTCTACACACTCGTTCCCTCTCTTCCCTGCTCTCTGACGTGGAAGCGCTTAGTCGCCCAGTCGTCTGATTCTTTGTGACCCAAAGGACTGCAGCCCACCAGGCTCCTCTGTCCATGGGATTCTCCAGGCAAGAATACTGGAGGGGGTTGCCATGCCCTTCTCCAGCGGATCTTCCCCACCCAGCGACTGAACCCAAGTCTCCCACACTGCAGGCAGATTCTCTAGTGTCTGAGGCACCAGGGACGCCCTCTCTGAAGCTTGCTGGGATCTTTGACCCCCACCGCGCCACTGAAAGCTCTTGCCAGCGTCATCCGTGATCTCCCTGCTGCTGAGTCCAATGGTCGGTTTCTAGGCGTCGTCTTCCTTAACGTCTCAGCAGCATCTTGCCCGACTGTGCATTCTTTCCTCCTCAACATGCTTTCTTCACTTCACTCCTAAGACAGCACATTCCACTGACTGGTTGTTCCTTCCAGTGTCCTGTGCTGAGTTTTCCTCTTCTTCCCAGTCTTAGAGAGCTCAGTCCATGGTCATCTTTCTCTTCTCTACACACATTTTATGTTTTGCTAGTGTCTTAGTTCAGGCGGCTATAACAAACTACCACGGACAGAAACTTATGTTCTGGAGGTTCTGGGAGCCGGAAGCCCGAGACCAGGCGGCCGGCATGTCTGGGTCCTAGTGTGGACCCTTCTCGGCGGCAACAGCCAGCTTCTCATCGTGTCCACCCGTGGTGCAGATCAGAGCAGACGGAAGCAAGGTGTCCAGGACTCTCATAAGGACACTAATCCCGTTCGTGACGGCTTCCCCCTACGACCTCATCTCATCCTAATTAGGGCAGCTTGTTGGTCTCGGGGTATGATTCTTGCAAGAATTAGGCTCATAAAATCATCTCCCAAGGACACAAACATGTGTCTGAGCACACATGGTGGGTGAACCTTGAAAACAGGCTAAGTAAAATACACGTGCATGCACAGTCATGTCTGACTCATTGGATCCCATGGACGATACAGCCTGCCAGGCTCCTCTGCCCATGGACATTTCCAGGCAAGAATACTGGAGTGGGTTGCCATTTTCTCCTCCAGGGGATCTTCCAACACAGGGGTCGAACCCATGTCTCCCACATTTCCTACACTGGCGGGGGGGTTCTTCAGAAGTCTACATCGTGCATGACTGTGTTTACATTCCAAAACATCCGGAACAGGTAAATTCACAGAGACGGAGAGCAGACTGTTGGTTGCCAGGGGCTGGGGGCAGGAGGAAGACTGACTGCTTAGCGGCTAAGGAGCTGGATTTGGGGATGATGAACACGTTTGGGAGCTAGACAGAGAAGGTGGTTACAGAGCATTGTGAACATACTAAACGCCACCAAATTTTTCACTTTAAAATGACCAGTTTTATGCTATGTGAATTTTACTTCAGTGAAAAAAAGTCTTTAAAAGATTTAAAAGAGGACACACGTGGTAAGGGGCTTTGTGAACAGCAGCCATCTGGTGACTGAGGTTCTGGGCTCAGCTCTGATACTTACTGACATGAGGATGGCAAGGCAGTGCTGTGGGCCTCAGTTTCGTCACCTGTAAAATGGGTTGGACCACCACCAGTGCTCAGTCAGAGCAGCCCGTGACGAGTCACACACAGCACTGCTTCTAAACACACAGACTGCCCTTCAGATTCTGGTACGCCCAAGAGGGCAGCGTGCCTCTTGCTGCTGTGCTGAGAACACTTATTTCAGGTCTGAATCCAACCCCCTTTCTAGAACATCAGGCTAAAGGGCACTGGCAGCCCACGATTCTAGCGCATTCACCTATGACTGTTTATAAGTGTTTATAAGATGTGTTTTGATTAGAGAGGACGATACCATAAATGAAGTGCATTTATTAGGAAGATAAATGCCACACCGTTACAAGTAGTTCCCTTGGGCAGTTGGCAACTTCACAGGAAAAAGACACCTTGACAGAGTCCACAGGATTTTGCTTATAACATAGAAGGAGTTTTAAGGCAGATGAATTCGAGGCCACGAAAACTACATCCGTGATACAGGCACAACATTCAGAAATGACTCAGGCTCCAAACGTCCCCGTTCCCAACACATCTCTGAACAACTCGGTCGACAGCTGCTGTCAGGGACTCGACACAGAGTCTCAGAAGCAATTCAGCACGACACCGATGCAGAGGGGGTTGTCCCGAGACCTCCCCAAATCACGTGGTTAACACTGACCCACAGTGCTATGTGTAAGCCTCACACGCTTTTATTTCACACAAACTTGGACACTGTCCTAGGAGAACAAATGCACATCAGGCAAGAGGAAAACAGGACTTAGAATCACGTCCCACAAACAGGATTACAGAAAACGAGGGCTGCAGCGGGCCACGCGGATGGACTGATGACTTCTGACAGACGGTGAAACGAGGCTTATAGAGATGCCGCGGTAAGCTCTGTCTTCCCCTCCGCGGTCACCACCTGGATTAGGCTTCCTGAGCTTGGCCGGCTTTTCTCTGTGATCCAGTCATGGAAGGTTCTAGGACAAAAAGAAGAAAAGCTTTACATTCTAAAAGCAAACATCTGGGACACAGGCTTGTACTCACATTGGGGGCGGAGCAGCGACTGTGAAAACGCCTCTGGGGCCTCATGGACACAGACCCAGGTCCCCGGTGGTTCTAGGACTTCCCTGACTGCAGTTCCTGAGCCGTCAGCAATTGGCAAGGTTTTCGTTTGCCTGTTTTCCTGTCTTGTTGGAACACAGTGATTTTATGTGATTAAAGATGCTCATGAGTTCATCCTAAGAGACATGGGCACCAGTCTGGCCTTCTGCGATGACCGGGAGGGAGGCGGGGACGGGAGGGAGGCTAGGGAGGGAGGGGGTGATTTGCATTGTTGTTATGGCAGAAACCAACACAACGTTGTAAAATGTTTTTAAATATATATTTAAATTTACAAAGTAGAATAAATGGAAGAGAATTAGAAAAAAAAAAAGGAGAGAGAGAGATGGGGAGAACATTTTATACTTTGTTATATTACCTCCCAGAAATTTAAAGAGAAAAAATTACTTTCTTAACAAACATGGAGCATCCATGGAGCACCCACAGTTGTATCATGCAATGGAAAAAGATATTTAAAAAAAAACAGACTATGTTATAAAACACATTCGGTGCCAGGGTGGGGCATTTAATAATCAGCTCTGTGTGGGGAAGGGTGTTGGGTGCCTGGGGGGTTGCAGTTTGGTGTGTGTGTGTGTGTGTGATTGTGTCTCTCAGTCCCGTCCGACTCTCTGTGACCCCATGAACTGCAGCCCGCCAGGCTCCTCTGTCCGTGGAATTCTCCAGGCAAGAATACTGGAGTGAGTAGTCATTCCCTTCAACAGGGCATCTTCTCGACCCAGAGAGGGAACCCAGGTCTCCCACTTTGCAGGCAGATTCTTTACTGTCTGAGCCACCAGGCGAAGCCCTTTCACAATGTATATGAATATAAAAACTCAAACTCTATACCTTCAATCTGTATCATTTTTTGGCAGTTATATCTCAGTAAAATCTAGCAGTCGCAAAAAAAGAAAAACAAAAAATGAGGAAAGGAAAAGGGCATAAGGAATTATTAAGGTTTAACAAGAGGCTGATAATTCTTATTTATTTATTTTTAATTTGGCTACATCATACGGCATGTGGGATGCTAGTACCCCTACCAGGAACTGACCCTGTGTCCCCTGCATTGGGAACACATAATCTTAACCACTAGACTGCCAGGGAAGTCCCCTGCTCATCTTTTTTAAAGCATGAACTCCTGCTGTGGGGAATACTGGCCCCTCTGACCTCCCCCAGGTGGGACTGTGGCCCTTCCTTCACTGCAGAGTCCTCAGGAGCTCCTGAGGTCTTCAGTGCCGACGAGCAACCTGCTGGACCAGAGCTGGCCAGGCATTCGAGCTGTACAGGGAAGCTGTTGTATTTCCAGTCACTAGTCGTGCCCGACTCTTTGCGACCCCATGGACCGTAGCCCGCCAGGCTCCTCTGTCCACGGGGTTTCTCCAGGCACTGGAGTGGGTTGCCATGTCCTCCTTCAGAGGCTCTCCCTGACCCAGAGATCGAACGCCCATCTCCTGAGTCTCCTGCATCGGCAGGCAGGTTCTTTACCACCGAGCCACTTAAGAAGCCCCTGCTACGAGCGTTTAGTAAGACCAGGGTTATGAAGTGCTCAAATGGCCTGGCGCATAGGTACTACATAAGTGCTTATTCCAAACATAAATAAACATAAAACACAAAACATCTAAGCAAAAGGCAACCTCAGACCAGAAGCACACATCCCAAGCTCTACAAACATCCCATATGAACACAGCCGTCCAAGCGGCTCACCACTCACTCTGCTGGGCAAGGTGGTCCCTGCTCCACGTCTCCCTCCTCATCGCCCCCAGGCCCAACACAGCCCCCAGCCCCAGTGGGATTCTCAGCAAACATGTGTTCGATACCCCCTTAAACAGAGGGGTCTGGGGGAGCTGAGATCCAGGTGAACACAAGTGAGCAGAAAGCGCACCCTCTCCTGACGTTCCAAAGCCACTCATATTTACAAAGGGCCTTGGGGACCAAATATGATCTTGGGGACAAAGGACGCTTTTCTGAGGCTTGGCACTAATTCAGACACATGGGCCCAGAGGTCCCACCCAGGTCAGCGGCTCACTCCATGCAGCTGTGCTTGTTAACAGACAGAGCGAGCGTTCCGGGAGCCGGGCTCACCCAGCACTTCTGTGGGTCAGATGTGGGCTGAGAGCCTGGCCCACTCTAAGATAGCTTACCCTCCTAACAGTCATCACGGGCCCCCATTGTACAGACTGAGAAACTGAGGCCTAGAGGAACTGAACCACTCCTAGTGGAGGGGGAGGCACCATCTACCCTTCCAGCCTGCGAGGTTCGCACAGAGGTGCGAGGCGCCCTTGGAGGTCAGGACCTCATGGAGCAGCCGGGTTGATAAGCCAGGAGAACACGGGCCTGTCCTTTCACCCACGAGACGGAGGCGCGGGGGCCGGGAGCTGCTGGGTCAGTGACGCAACTGCCGTACTCACTCGACCAGGAACTCCAAGGGCGTCCAGGAGCTGAAGTCGGCCTCGGGCATCGACTTCCTGTTCACCGGGGTGTCCAGGGTGACCCTGCAGAGCGGAGACAAGCCTGCCACGTGTGTGTCCCCACACCCAGGAGCCCACGGCACTGAGGGTGACCGTGTTGACATGGACCGAGCTACAGATATTAAAATTAGATGTGCCCACTATTTCTTAATAAAGAGGGACAGAAGGACAGAAATTGAGAAAGATGCAGGCCGGGAAGACCCATCCCATCAGCCAAGGAACCATCCGGGAAAGCCCAGGATAATCCAAAAGCCGAACAAGTGTCGTCAGGGCCTTTGACGACTCTCGGGGGCCGAGGGGACAGCATGCACTCGTCCCTGGGGTGGGGTGACTCCAGGACCCACGTGAACCCTCGGTGGGGGTCAGGCGTGGAGGGACCCCAGCCACTTACGGGAGCACGGCGACGGCTGCAGCCCCAGGCGGCAGGCCGCTGTTCTTCCCGGCCAGGCTCTGGCAGAGCTGGTGCACCGCAGCCTTGGCCATGCCGTAGCCGATCATCCCTGGGAAACGGGGAGAAAACATTTCAGTGACCACCGGCCGCCACTGGCAAGTCCAAAGGGCACCATGCCAGGGTCCCAAGGAGGCCGGGAAGACAGAACCAGGGACATCTATGGAAAGTGGGAAGGACACAACCTATTATTCACCTGGCACTTAACCGTTTTCAGAGAAGCCACAAGGCCCATCCTAGTTCTGTTGCTAAGGAAATGGAGGCTTGGACAGGCCCAGGCTCACATACAGACGCGTACTGAGGCCAGCAGAGAGGTGAAAAGCCAGGCAAGGGTTTAGAACCCTTGAACCCGTAACAGCTTATGAGTCAGCCAGCACACAACACTGGGTGCACAGGGAGCTGGCAAAATCAAGCAGGAGTTTGAAATACAGGCTTTAGAGTCAGGCTGTGCAGGTTCAGCTGGGCAGCTCTTCCATTTACCGCTACAGAAATGCTGGGCAGGTTCTCAAGACCTGTCTGAACCTCAGTCTTCCATCTGTAAAATGGGGATAAAGTACTCAGTTCTAGGCTCAGAACAGGGTAGGACCTCCACACATGTTGCCCATCATATTAACATAAGAGCTGTGCCCTGGAGTCTAGCTCCCATTAAAGGACACCATTTGAATCATATGAGACTGCTTACACGTGGAATCTAAAAAAAAGTTCTGGGTTGGCCAAAAAGGGCCCTCAGGTTTTTCTGTAAAATGTTATGGGAAAAAACCTGAGTGAACTTTGTGGCCCACCCAATACAAATAAACATATTTACAAAACAGAAATAGACACAGATACAGAAAATAAACTTATGGTTACAAAGGGAGGGAAGTGGGGGTGGGATACATTGGGAGATGGGGATCAACCCGTACATACTACTGTATATAAAATAGAAAACTAAGAAAGACCTACTGCAAGGCACAGAGAACGTGTCTCATTCCTCTGTAACGGCCTACACGGGAACAGAGTCTAACAAAGAGTGGCCACATGTAAGATAAAGAACTGATTCACTTTTCTGACAGCAGAAACTAACACAACACTGCAAATCAACCAGACTCCAAAAAAATTAATTAAAAACAAACTATACTATTTGAGCAATCGCAACATACGTGGACACATGCTTCCTATCAGCCTTCCTTTCCTCCCGCCAGTCAGTGAAGGCTTGCTGATAGAAGCAAGGCATGCCTTTCTTTTTATTTAATTGAAGTATGGTTGATTTATAATGTGTTAATTTCCGCTGTGCAGCAAAGTGATTCATATACATATACACACACATGGTGGTGGTTTAGTGGCTGCCATGGCCAACTCTTGCAGCCCATCAGGCTCATCTGTCCATGGGATTTCCCAGGCAAGAACAGTGGAGTGGGTTGCCATTCTCTTCTCTGGGGATCTTCCCAACCCAGGGCTCCTGCATTGCAGGTGGATTCTTTACCAACTGAGCTACCCATATATATACACATATATACATTCTGTTTTAATATCCTCTTCCACTAGGGTTTATCACAGGATACTGACTAGTTCCCTGTGTGACACAGTGGGATCCTGTTGCTTACTCAGTCTATATGTAACAGCCTTATCAGGACAGGGCTCCGTCTGTCCCAGAGACACACGGCAGGCCAGCTCTCTCGTCTCAGAAGCACCCCAAAGCACCCAGCTGCAGGTGTACTAAATGCAGCCATCACAGCAACAAAGACCGACTCATTGCTGCCAAGACCCCTCCGCCTTCAGAAAACCACTGCTTCCAAAGGTCGGCCGCTCCCTAAACACCCCAGCAGGTTGGCTGTTTCAGTATAACAGCTCGAGGCATCAGCGTCTGGTGGGAGGTGGGCCTCACAGCCCAGCGGAGCAGCCAATCGCTGAACTACCCAATACAAATAAACATATTTACAAAACAGAAATAGACACAGATACAGAAAATAAACTTATGGTTACAAAGGGAGGGAAGTGGGGGTGGGATACATTGGGAGATGGGGATCAACCCATACATACTACTGTATATAAAATAGAAAACTAAGAAAGACCTACTGCATGGCACAGAGAACGTGTCTCATTCCTCTGTAAAGGCCTACACGGGAACAGAGTCTAACAAAGAGTGGCCACATGTAAGATAAATAACTAATTCACTTTTCTGTACAGCAGAAACTAACACAACACTGCAAATCAACCAGACTCCAAAAAAATTAATTAAAAACAAACTATACTATTTGAGCAATCGCAACATACGTGGACACATGCTTCCTATCAGCCTTCCTTTCCTCCCGCCAGTCAGTGAAGGCTTGCTGATAGAAGCAAGGCATGCCTTTCTTTTTATTTAATTGAAGTATGGTTGATTTATGATGTGTTAATTTCCGCTGTGCAGCAAAGTGATTCATATACATATACACACACATGGTGGTGGTTTACTGGCTGCCATGGCCAACTCTTGCAGCCTATCAGGCTCATCTGTCCATGGGATTTCCCAGGCAAGAACAGTGGAGTGGGTTGCCATTCTCTTCTCTGGGGATCTTCCCAACCCAGGGCTCCTGCATTGCAGGTGGATTCTTTACCAACTGAGCTACCCATATATATACACATATATACATTCTGTTTTAATATCCTCTTCCACTAGGGTTTATCACAGGATACTGACTAGTTCCCTGTGTGACACAGTGGGATCCTGTTGCTTACTCAGTCTATATGTAACAGCCTTATCAGGACAGGGCTCCGTCTGTCCCAGAGACACACGGCAGGCCAGCTCTCTCGTCTCAGAAGCACCCCAAAGCACCCAGCTGCAGGTGTACTAAATGCAGCCATCACAGCAACAAAGACCGACTCATTGCTGCCAAGACCCCTCCGCCTTCAGAAAACCACTGCTTCCAAAGGTCGGCCGCTCCCTAAACACCCCAGCAGGTTGGCTGTTTCAGTATAACAGCTCGAGGCATCAGCGTCTGGTGGGAGGTGGGCCTCACAGCCCAGCGGAGCAGCCAATCGCTGAACCGCTTCCACAGTGACTCAGATTGCAAAGGAGGGTCAAGGCCTCAAACAGTTATTTAGAAACACAAGAAGACTATTTCACCATGCCTGGCTTTTCTTGGCTTCGTTGGGGGCAGAAGGCCGACCGTGGCATGAAGATCTAAAAAACTCTGTGGCGATTAAAACAAACCAGTGCAGGGGATGGGACGAGTTGGCAGACTGGGATTGACACTGCAGATACACTACTATGTATAAAATAGACAGAGAATAGAGACAGCACAGGGAACTCTACTCAGGGTTCCGGGGTGACCTAAACAGGAAGAACTCCAAAAGAGAGGGGACGTATGTCTACGTATGGCTGATTCACTTTGCTGTCCAGTAGAAACCAACACAACACTGTAAGGCAACTATACTCCAATAAAAATTATAACAAAGACATGAGTGAAAAGTCACCATTCCAACAGCTTTAAACAAACTAGCGTGTGGATTTCATCCGACCAGCCCCTGTCCCCCAGCACGCTCCCTTCTCCCAGGACTCTCTCTTCACCCCATTCAAACAGCATGAAAGCAAGGAGTCGGGTGAGGAGAAGCAAGGAAGCAGCAGCCAGGAGCCCTAAAGGTTTAATTCCACAGGATTCTGTACAACGCTGGCGAGGATCATGTGCAAAATATGGGGAAAGCATGCACTCCATCAAGATATATAAGTATCAAGTGATCAGTGCAGTCCCTAAAGACTGATTTCTAAACACAGCGCAGACCCTTACACAGTACAGGAGAGAGATCACCATCTCTTTGATACCGTTTACCCTCCACTGGACTGTCCACAAATAAACAGCCTTAGACACAGGAGAGGGTGGGGTTTCTCAGCGTGTTTCAACATGAAAAACTTTTCATTTTTGAACACCTCTTCAAGGTGTCCTCTTTCAAGGACTATTAAGCCTGTTCATCACGTGCTTTCATAGACTTCCCCAGATTTCTCTGGAGTCTGAATCAAAGAGAAAAGATTTCATGACTCAAATAAGTTTAACAACATCTAACTAAAGAGCTAAAAGAGGAACAAATTTATCAACACCTGAAGGAGTAACTGACCAGAAGGAAACCTAGAGTACTGCTAACTCTCTGCAATACCTGTCTTAAACCATTACCCCCATTAAGATGTTTACAAGTCCCAACCACCATGTAAAGGAGGTATTACCATTACTTTTCATTATACAAATGACAACACTGAGGCTCAGAGAGGTTAAGTAATTTGCCAACTATCACACAGCGACTAAACGGCAAGACCACAATACAAAATCAACCCGTATAGTTCCAGATCCTATAGTCTTAACCAGTATCTGAAACTATAAGCAGAGAATGATACTAGTAAACCAAAACCAAGGGTAGAAAGCTGTTTCGTCCTTCAGGAAAATTAGTGTTTCAGTCCTAGGGTTTTCTCTTTTCAATGTTGAGCTATTATTCATTTCTGTATTTACTCTCTAGAGTCTCTGATTTTAATGAAAATCAGATCTCAGCCAGACTAACACTGAACATCTACACAGTGTGAATTACTGCAAGAGCCATGGAATTATAAGATCACTTTCTCTGTGAAACCTAATAAAATGAGTGGCAAAAGAATTTAATTTGTAAAAGCCTCACAGTTCAGTTCACTACATGAAGACTGAAAAAGATGCTTAAGGTTTCTACCACTTACTAAAGAGGTTCAAAAACACTCCTCCTCTTTTTTTTTTAACGAGTTTAATTTAGGTAGTGGAGACAGTTTCTGGCTCCCTGAACTATGTCCGCTACTCCCTGCTTAAATTCCTTTATTCTGATCGCAAAGGGACAGTGAATTGTGCCAGATGGTGAAGTCTTAACCATCCCAGGCCCGCACCTCAGTAAAAGTGTTAGTAACTCAGTCTTATCTGAACTCTCCAGGCAAGAACACTGGAGTGGGTTGCCATTCCCTTCGCCAGGGGATCCTCCCGATCCGGAGATTGAACCTGGGTCTCCAGCAGTGCAAGCGGATTCTTTAACATCTGAGCCACCAGGGAAAAGCCCATATTACGAGTTGAGAGCCATGCAACACCATCCATTCCCTGGGTGGATCCCAGACACACACAAGACGAGGGGGTGCCAGAGGACCGTGGTCCTTGGCCAGCATGACCATGAGGACAATGCACATGAAAAGACGAGGACGCTTCCCCTAAAAAGATGGAGGCCCAAAAGGAAGCACGGTCCACCCAACTGCAAACAGCCCTGGAGGGTAAAGGGCTCTAATATTCCCCCTCCCAGGGAAGCGCTCAGCAGCCCAGTGAGCAAGAAAGTGTGAGCGTTCCCATTTCACAGACGGGGAAACAGAGGCTCACCAGGTGTCCCGTCCAGGGCGGCCCTGGCCCCCGCCAAAGTCAGGAGGCCTCCTTCCTTGAGGTGCTTGGTGGCCAGGTGGCTGGAGATGATGGATGTCCACACGCTCTGCTTCCACATCAGGTCACAGTTTTTAAAGAGCGCTGAGCAAAGAAACACATGAGGTCAGCATTCACAGGGAAGAAACTGAAGGGTGAGCTTCAGTTCACCCAGCACCCGACCCTCCAGGAAGCCCCCATGGCCACTCTGGGTCTGCAGGGAGATATAACACACACACAGTGCAGGGTTTGTGCTCAGAGATGCAGGATTTGTGCTCAAATCCAGGCCACGTGGTCACCCAAGTCTCAGCCTCCTCATGTAAACTGGTTAGTATAGTCGCTCAGTCATGTCTGACTCTTTGCGACCCCACGGACTGTAGCCCACCAGGCTCCTCTGTCCATGGGATTCTCCAGGCAAGAATACTGGAGTGGGTTGCCATTTCCTTCTCCAGGGGATCTTCCTGACCCAGGGATCAAACCCAGGTCTTCTGCCTTGCAGGCAGATTCTTTACCAACTGAGCCACCGGGGAAGCCAAACTGGTTAAACATCAACCAATAAATGAGGGCTGTTGACAGACAGGTGGGACTGGCATTAATTCAAACACTGCCCTACTTTATAAATGGCATTAGGGGCCTTCCCTGGTGGTCCAGTGGTTAGAATTCCATGCTCTCACAGCCAAGGGTCTGGGTTTGATCACTGGTCGGGGAACTAAGATCCCACAAGCTGCGTGGTGTGGCCAAAAAAATAACTTTTAAAATTACAAAAATAAATAAAGGACATTACATCTTTAATTAGAACCTATATGTCTACGTCAAGTTTTATCTGTGATAAAAGATCTCAGTGACTATGATGACATAAAGAGGGCTTTCATGGAGTGACAAGTTTTTTATGGTTGAAAGTTTAATGCCAACTTTAAAGACTCTCTAAAAGAAAGCTGAAATAATAACCATTTCACACTTGTTTTAACCCTCTGGCCTTGCCAGAGATGTGAGGAGGAACTGGTAAGGGAGGTCACATCACCAGCTGATCCCCTGCCCCCCTCACAGGATACACAGAACCCACTGCACCCATGACCCAGAGACAGAGCCCTCCTGATACAGAAGGAGAGTCTGCAGTGGGTGATGACCAAGGAACTGCATTTCCCTGTTAAGATGAGCTAGGGGAAAAAAGGATGGACCCACAATTGTTACTTCCTGTTCCCAAAATACACAAAAGGCCATCAGGTATTCTGCCAAGCTGATCCCCGACAAACGGACAATTTCACATTTAAGTGTGGTTCACAGAAGAGGAAAAGGAGACGGCAACCCCCGCCAGTATTCTTGCCTGGAGAATCCTGTGGACAGAGGAGGCTGGTGGGCCACAGTCCACGGGGCTGCACACAGCTGGACATGACAGAGCACACACACATGTGTGCGCACACAGAAAATCAATTCCTTTTTAAATCACTCTGGCTGATAAATGTAGAAGGGATGATAGAATTGGAAAACTACCATTTTCCAAGCCCCAGTGGAACGACTGATTCAGGTAGAGATGATCAATGGATGTGTATAATCACTGGTTTTGGGAACTCTGGGGTTCTCAAGGGGTTTGGGAACAGGATACTCATACATGATGCCAAAGCACCATCCCATGGGTCACTTACTAATTACAAATAGAAAAATGTACTTTAGGATGGAGATCTATCACCTTAATCCCGACCCAGCACCAGGGCTGGCATCACTCTGGATGGACGGTGGAGCAGGCCGTGGGCTGCGGTGAGGACACAAAGGCCTGCAGGGTGAAGTCCACGTCACCCAGGAAGCATCCTCACCTCCACATTCACCTCCATCCTCACCTCAGCATATTAACCTGGATCTAAGCAAGTCTCCAGACCTACCTTCCAGTCCACAGGAAACACCAGGGACAGAGGAACGAGGCAAGTGACACCTTAAAGAGACAGTCTGACACATTCAGGGTGGGGGACATTCTACATGAAAACTGCCTTGGACCTGCCAAACCTACCACAGGAAAAAGAAAAAGTTCTAGATTAAGAGACTCAAACAATAATACAATGCTGATTAGAATAAATCTAGGGAAAACAGCTAGGGAACAGACTGAGGTAACAGGAGCATGGGCTGGTACTATTAATCTTACAGAATTACTGGTAATTTTCTTAGGTATGAGAGCGGTATTACGCTAACGTGAGAGAATGGCCTAACCCTTGGAGACACATACTGAAGTACAGTCAAGTGTCAAAGCACTTTCAAATGATTAACAACAGCAGCAAAAATACGCACACAGAGGACACGCATGCGAGAAAGCAAGAGGATGCGAGTGTGGCAAACATTCACCAGGGCTGAGCCTCGACGGGGGCATAAAGGTGTGCACTGAACGGCTCTTTCCTCTTTTCTGTGTATTTGAAAATGCTCATGATAAAAAAATAGCAAATAAACTCACAGCTTCAGCAAAAGCTCAATTGTGAGTCCTTTTCATCTTCTGAACCATCTCTGCATTCCATTCACATTCCCCAATTCCCAGTACCGAGCCCTGAAAGACTGCGGTGGGAACAATGCTGACTTCATCCCGTCTCCTTTTTAATCTCAAGGCCCCTCTGCCCTAACTCCTCTGAGCATCCGTGCAGGCTAAGTCACTTCAGTCGTGTCTGACTCTGCCCTCTACGGACTGTAGCCGCCAGACTCTTCTGTCCATGGGATTCTCCAGGCAGGAACACAGGAGTGGGCTGCCATTCCCTTCTCCAGGGGATCTTTGTGACCCAGGGATCGAACCCCAGCCTCCTGCAGCTCCTGCAGTGCAGGTGGATCCTTTATGCTGCGCCACCGGGGAAGCCCCCGACCCCTTTTATGGGAAGTTTTTTCTTCCTCTGTAAAACGGGGTGTTGACCCCCACCTTACAGCGACTGGGAAGATTCCGGGCGGCAGACAGGAAAACATCTGGCCTGGCACAGGGTGCAGACCCGACCCATGCACCTGGACAAGGAGCAGTGCAGGGTGAATGATTAACCCAGAAAAGGACTCACACTTGGACTTGGCATTGCCCCCAGCCCATCCTCCAGCCACACAAAGGATCGCATCCACCTTCTCTGTACCCAGGAGCTTTCCCACCTCAGCCGTCACCTGAAACAGAGGGGCAGAAAAGACGCAGATTGTCAGGTAAACCTCAACAGGCTGACGTCTGACGTTGCTGTAGTCACCTCCATTGACCTTTCCCTCCTTTGTAAGTCAGTTTACAGTACCTGGCAATGAACACTTTGAAAATCAGATGCAGGGCCCATTTACAATGAACATTTTGGACAGCAAAGCCTGACTGCATTTCAGCATGATTTTTATAAAGCAACCTAGAGTCTTCTGAATATTCTAAAGGGTGGGGACGTACACATCCCTGGGATAAAACAATAAATAAAGTAGGAAAAGTTAAAAAAAATCACACGCAAATTCATGAAGCGTTCCATAGTTTTTAAAAAATCACCTAGGATTTCACTGCCTATAGCTAGATTTCTGGTATATTTCTTTCCAGAATTTCTTTGCCAATCACAGAATCACAAACTGAGATAATCAATTCTACTCTCCCCTCCAATACAAACATCCCATTAACTGTAACTCCAAAAAAAAAACCAAAGCCAGAGTAAGTTTTTCCTTAAAAATAAAGCAATAAAAAATAATTCATGGCAAAATGTTGGTAAGCAATGAATACAAGGGGGTTCATTTTAATTCTCTACTGCTGTTTGATTCAAATGTTTAAAGTGTTGAAAACATACACATGTCTTTTGTTACAGTTTATTAAAACAAAAATCTGAGAAGACACACAACCCTGGCCATCATCCATGAATCCTTTCCATATTTTTCTGGAACAGCTGAAAGGATCATAGCCCGTCAACAGCTTCACTAAGATCAAGCTTCTAAAAAAGCAGCTTAACACAGGACAGTGGAATTCTCCCAGCAGTAACATTTCAGTCTCTGACGGCTTTCCCTAACAATTTCTGAGCCTCAGATCACTCTTTCAGGGGAACTGCCTGGCAGTCCAATGGTTCAGACTCCACGCTTCCACTGCAGGGGGCATGAGTTCGATCCCTGGTTTGCGAACTAGGATTCCACAGTGCATGGCCAGAAATAAACAAATTACTCTTTCATGGAGATCAATCTGGCAATGGAAACCAACCTTTCCTCTCCTCTACATTCTATACCAAAATCTCTCAATTTAAGTAGATTCCTGACCATCTCTTGGCAAGTACCTGACGTAACCCTGGTTCAGCTTTTGAGATCTTCCTCCTGTTACCCTGGTTCCCTGGCTGCCTCTCCTTCATTTCTAAGCCGCATCCCATTGCCAACAGCAAGGTCTCATCTGCCAGGAGTTGTGTCATCTTCCCTGACCTCTGTACCCGAACACAACCTGTGCTCTACGTTTTAGGGAAGCACGGAGCCCAAGCAACAATGCTCCTGCTTGATTGGCCTTTTTTTTAACCACCTCTGTGTTCTATTTTTATAATAAAATTAAAATGAGGCATTTTAAAATTCCTCGCCCTTAAATTCTCCCTTTTGCCTATCCAATAGTCTTTTATAGGTTTAATTTTTTTCTCACTTTTCACTTTCTGTCTCTAGTGAATTTTCAGCTTAAGAGCCAATTTAAATATGACTGTGTATGTGCTCAGTCACTCGGCCACGTCCAACTCATTGTGACCCTACAGACTGTAGCCCACCAGGCTCCTGAGTCCATGGGATTCTCCAGGCAAGAATACTGGGGTAGGTTGCCATGCCCTCCTCCAGCGAATCTTTCGGACCCAGGGATTGAGCATGCATCTCAAGTCTCCTGCATTGGCGGGTGGGTTCTTTACCACTAGCGCCACCTGGGAAGCCTTACTTTTATATACGCCAAGGTTGAATTTCCTTCTTCTAGAGCTTTAGAATCAAAAACTGGATGTCATGTTGTTTGTCCAGACATTCCTGATTGAGTGACTAGGAGATGAGAAGGCGCAGGAGGGGTTAAAGATGTTAAAAGCTAATAATGAAGGCATTTCCCAATCTTTGTCCTAAAGGTGCACCATATAGTCAAGTCTCAGATGTGGACAATTTCACATTCGAAATGGGATACAGACATCAGAAACCTGCAACTAAAGGAGCAGGAGAGACCGTGACCACTGAGGACCATGCCTGGAGGAGCTGCAGCTGTCCACGCCCAGGGGCTCCCTTGCATCTGGTTTAAGTTTTCCTTGCTTTATTCACACGAAGCTATCCTGCTGAGAAGCAACTTTAACATGCAGTTAGGAACACAGGCACCACTCCTTACCAGAGCCCAGGTTCAAATCCTGGCTCTGCCACCTACAACCTGGTCGAACATATACCAGGGACTTCTGTACCCATTTCTAAAATGGAGATACGATGAGACACTTGGTTTTGGGGGTGTTAAAGAGATTAAGCAGCCTATTGCAAATAAGACACTTCTTACGATGTCTGACACACAACAAAGCCGTACTGAGTTTTACTATTAAGTCCAATAAAACCAATAAGACCATTAAGTGCAGGAATCATTAGGACGGTTCCTTGAACTGTGGGCTGCAGGGTTGGCATGAAGACCGCAGACAGCACATCCTTCATGCAGCTGGTGGGAAGGGCTCTTCCAGAAAGGCAGACCTGCTTAAAAGCATCTCAGAAGCTTAATACCAAGACATCCAACGAACTGTCAACAGTTCCTCCTTGGGGAGGTGGGAGGGGGACACAGTCACAGGGAGAAAGAGGGATATTTCACAATTTATCTATATAGCTGGATGGTCTTGCCTGACTTCTTCACAATACGCCTGGGCGGGAAGATTCCCTTGGAGAAGAGAATGGCTACCCACTCCAGTATACTTGCCCGGAGAATCCCATGGACAGAGGAGCCTGGTGGGCTACAACAGTCTATGGGGTCGCAAAGACTCAGACGTGACTCAGAGACTAACACTCTCACTTTCGCTTTATAATTGGAAACGACCTGGTTTGTTAGCATTCTTGCTTTGGGTAGGGGGAGCTCTGCTTTCTGGAACGTATCTCCAATAAGTAACAGACAGATGAAGATGTTCACCACAGTATTCTTGACATTAGTAAGTAAAAGAAGTTAGAGTAAAAAAAGAAAAACTGCAAAAAAAGTTTAAATGTACAAGTACAAACCAAAGAAACTGTGACCAATCCATACAAAGAAAAATTACGAGTTGACACAGAGGTTTTATTAAGTGATTTGAGGAAGAATTCAAGCTAAGTAAGTTGAAAAAAAGAGAAGCTGACATAGCATATAAAATATGAATTTATCTCAACCTATAAGACTTCTATAGTATGCAGAGGAAGCACAAGAAAATGGGCCAAAATGTGAACTAACTAGTGAGCTAACTCGACATGGATCATGGGCTACTTGTCTTTTTTTCCCTTTCGCTTTTTCCAAATTTCCCTCCATGAGCTCAACGGCTCTCAAAATGAGAGAAGCAAGGCCTGAAAGAAGGACGTGGAGCCCTCTCCCCAGAGCTCCCCACCCCACATGCAGTCCTTCCCTGGAATCACCTGGTCGGCCTGCTCCGTGAACGAGTCTGTCATTTTAACCACAACATTGGCACTGGCCTCTTCGTTCTCCTGCACGTCGATGCTGGCGACCCACTGGAGCGAAGAGAAAACAGGCTTGGTCAAGAGGCAGTCAGGCAGGACAGATTCATGCGCACGGATGCGGGGAGTTGGAGACAGCTTAGAGGCTTACGCGAAAACCCACTAGAGGAAGGACCTAGCAACTGACCTCTAGCACCCCTCACAGGGCTTTCCGGCTTTGGCCAGCACACCCCTTCCTGAGCCCCAGGCCAGTCCACTGTACCCCCAAACACCTCTTTCCAAACTTCCAGTCTCACCTCTGAAAGCCAAACCCTGCTGGGGCAGAGATGCCCAAGACCAGGGATTGCAACCCTTTTCTTAAAGAGCCAGAGGCTAAGTCTCTCAGGCTGTGATGGCCATATGGCCTCTGCTGCTGCGTCACTTCAGTCGTGTCTGGCTCTGTGTGACCCCATCCAGCTACTCAACTCTGCTATCACAGCTAGACAGCAGCCACGGAAAACAGCCCAGGAATCGATGAAAGAGCCTGGCTGTGTGCTGAGAAGACATCTGTCGCTGAATGCTTAATTTTATATAAAGTTCACACATGGCTACTTTTCTTTGGATTTCTATTCACCACTTAAAAGTGGGGAACTCTTTTTTAGCTCTTGGGCTCTGTGATAACAGGTGCCAGGCAACATCCAGCCCCTGGAGAACTGGAATTTTCCAATCCCTGTCCCAGAGCACAAAAGGATGGCTGTGGGCGTGGATATCAGGTCAGAGTTTGAATGCTGATTCTGCCATCCGGGAACTCTCTCATCCACCCACTCAGCAGAGGTTCCTCCGCTGCAAAATGAGGGTTGTCAGCAATCAACAGGATTAGCGTGAGAATTAAATGAAATGCAGGATGCTGTGTTGGATGAGTGGCATCACAATGGATATGGGTTCGAGCAAACTCTGGGAGATAGTGGAGGACAGAGGAGCCTGGTGTGCTGCAGTCCATGGGGTCGCAAAATGTCGGACACGACTGACGACTGAACAACAACATCAGCTGCTAACACGGTGCTGACTCAGAAAGCTCCAGGGCCCTGCAGTCTGAAGGCCCCCGAGATAAACATCTCCCCCACAAGCTTTGAAGAACACAGCATCCATTCAGAACACTCAATGCTCTGTGTCACAGGGAGGAGGGTACTGAGATAAAGAAATGGTTCCATCCCAGAACCCCCAGAGCTTCCAGGAAGGAAGGGAGCGAAAGACAGAGTCATGGGTAAGTCAGCTCTCCATATTCACCAAGTGAAACGACACCGACCGTACACCCCCCCACACCCCGCTTCGAGAGGAAGCACAGCCCTGCATCTGTAACAGTGGATACAGGAGCCCTGGATTTTTTTTTAACAGGAGGATAATTGCTTTACAACGTTGTGTGAGCTTCTGCTGCACAACAGCCTGAATCAGCGATTTGTTTCCTTTGTTCAGCTGCTCAGTTGGGGCCTACTCTCTGCAACCCCATGCACTGCGGCACCCCAAGCTTCCCTGTTCTTCACCAACTCTCTGAGCTTGCTCAAACTCGTGTCCACCGAGTCCTCTGTCGCCCTCTTCTCCTCCTGCCTTCAGTCTTTCCCAGCATCAGTCTTTTCAAAGGAGTCGGCTCTTCGCATCAGGTGGCCACAGTACTGGAGCTTCAGCTTCAGCATCAGTCCTTCCAATGAATGTTCAAGATTGATTTCCTTTAGGACGGACTGGTTTGATCTCCAGGGTTCTGTACCTTTTTTCTAGATCCTATATATACATGCGTTAACTCTGTATTAACGTTACTGGAGAGACTAAACAGAACTAAGACTATGTAGGGGCTCTGATACGCAGGAGCTCAAGGCCCAGCCCTGGGCTGGCAGTCCTTAAATGTTCCCATGGTCACACCCACCCCGCCTGCACACCTGGGAGGACATCTCAAGACAGGTAAATGGCGGGAAGGTGGTGTATTCAGAACCCTTCGAAGCATATTCCTCTACTAACACGAGATGAAAACCCTGGCTGCCTTTCGCTCTGGCCCCAGTGCACCATGCTCAGGCTGCTGCTTCTGCGGCCAAGTAAACCGCCAGGAAAGCTCCCGGGGCTACAGCGGGGGCTCTGAGCAAGAAGCCGCTGCGCCTGAAGACACTGTGGGCGGGGTCTCCACCTGGAATTCGCAGAGCAGGCTGGGGGCTGGGGGCTGGGGGCAGGGTCCCTGGCTCGGTGACAGCCACCCCCCCCCACCCCATGATGCCAAGTACTCCAAGTAGTCTTTGCCAAACAAAAGGCATTTGCGAGCTTTCAAAGTATCACATACAAGGGAAGCTAATGGAACAGGGGTATATATCAATAGGGGATTTCCCACGTGGCGCTAGTGATTTAAAAAAACCAAAAAACAAAAACCGCCTGCCAATGCAAAAGACTCCGGTTTGATCCCCGGGTCAGGAAGATCCCCTGGACAAGGAAATGGCAACCCACTCCAGTATTCTTGCCTGGAGCATTCCATGCACAGAGGAGCCTGGCAGGCTACCGTCCA